GGGTTTAGGGTTTAGGGTTATACCAGCGTTGCTTCGCTGATGGGTATAGCCTATAGCTGTTGTTTACAATAATCGAGTAATCTGCTAGTTCTCCACCGGGTTCTTCCTGATCTCTTTGCCATCCTACTGACTGCCTTGCCGTTCAAAAACGATGACAGCTGTCACAGTGACTCTTCCTGCCTGTTCCCGCCGAAGACGACTACAAACGCCAGCACAGCTACTGCTACAAATGCCTGGAGCGTTCTGGCAATTTCGCGAGCCCTCCAATCCACGCCAATCCTAGCCCTAAGCCTCAACCCNNAAAGCTGCCAACCCTAAACCCTAAACCCTAAACCCTGAACCCTAAACCCTAAACCCTAAGCCCTAAACCTTTAAACCCAAAGCCCTTACACAAAAAACGGGCTTCGAGTTTCTGGGCTTTGAAGTAACCAGGGAGAAAAAAGTATAGACTTTTATTTCATAATGGTTCCTTTAAGGAACAGGTCCCAAGAAAAAAATATTAAAGTATGGTACTCCAAAGCCCAGGTTTAGGCTGTGGGCGGTTTGTCTCCCCGGCCGGCCTTGCTGCCGAATTGTTTTCGAAGGCCTGGCACAAGCTTCGGGTTTAGGGTTTAGGGTTTAGGGTTCTGTAATAATGATATAGGGAATTGGGGTTCGGACGCAAATATACGGTGATTATACGAGGAGCCCCAAGGAAAACTCTTACTAATATAGGGGCCTGAACAATTAGAGTAGGGTTTTGGGACCAATTCTACTATACTTATAATAAGGACCCCCCCCAAAGTACTATAGGAAATTACTTGGGCCCCTACATCAGGCCCGTAAAGGATTCTTACAGGGGCTCTTCTTTAGAAGCTCTCACGGGCTTATATGAGCTTTCTACTTTGGCTCTATAGGGTTTCGGCTTTAGGGTTATACTTTGGTTCTATAGGGGTTTACAATGCTGGACGATGGTTCAAAAGGCTAAAGGGGTTCGGTAATGGGGTCTTGTATGATTCTCGCAAGTTGCAAGATGTAGGGCACGACCCTAGTGATAGATGTGCAAGTGTATATGTTTGCTCGTCTTTATACACATGCCTATAGGCATGGACGCAAGCCGGCGTATGTGCAAATATGTGTGTATATATAGAACTATATGTACATACGTACATACATACATACATACATACATACATACATACATACATAATTACATACATACGTACATACATACATAATTACATACATACATACATACATACATACATCCAGACATACACACACATACATACATGCACGCATACATACACACATACATACATGCATGCATGCACGCATGCATACATACATACATACATACATACATGCATACATACATGCACACATACGCACATACA